ATAGTCTGAAAAATACGGTACTACTAAAATGTTAACTTCGCCAAAGCCAAAACACAAATACGCACACAAACCTTGTTTACTTAGGAGAGAATTATTCATTTATTAGGGTTCGACAAACATGGATAAACATTAATCAGTTAAATTTATTTTCAAAGAAACCATAAAAAGATTGGCCTGTTCGGAAATACTCGGTGATCGTCGGCCGGACGGTCCGATCTGAGCGCGTTCCGTTCTGGACTGAGTGAAAACGTAAACAAAACACATCGAACGCTGGCTTCAACTCTTGGTGTTTATATGTGCTTCTAGTAATACAATTTCTTTGGAAGGATCACACTCGCATAGACAGCCTGCGGGAAACTTAGAGACATCTTCAACACGATATTCCTATATATTTGAAAACAAAGGCTTTCAATCAATGCGTATTTCCGCTTATGACATACGGCTCCGAAACAATAACGGTAGCCACTGGCAGGAGGCTCAAAGTAACGCAAAGACCGAAATGAAGACCTATGAAGAAGAACTGGCGCCGAAGGTGTGGTCAACATTGTGGGAAAGCTCAACAATTGGGTTCAGACAGCACAGAATAGAATCGAATGGAACAGAATAGGGGAGGCCTATATCCAAGGATAGCTTGATGATAACAATAATAATAACTTGATCTAATCTAAATTACGACAGATTCGTCTGATGATAATACGTCTTGGATCGTTGACAATTCCTAGTCTCCAACGTACACTTCATCATTTCCTCTTCATTTTTTCGGTATGTGATATATTTTTACTTGTATCACTTTTATACGTATTGTTTGGGTATTTACCCTGGGCCTAGGTAAATACCCGAATAAATACCCATTTTATAAATACCTACCCGTGAGGTATTTACCCAGTGCCCATCACTGCGTATATCACAATAATATTTTTTTATTTACCTTATTATTTTTTTTATTTTTACCGAATAAATATTTTTTGCAACTTAAAATATCTCTGTGTGGTGCCTTATAAATAACCCTACCCGTCTTCACTGGGCCGGCCGAGGACCTGCGTTAGTTATTAAATTGCTAATCGACTGTATTGTTCTTTTCTTTGTGTTCATAAGTCGTCACAATGTATGAAAAAACTTTACAGATTATGCCAAAAAGAAATAAAATGAAGCGATGTTTAGAATTAAGAATTATTTATTTAAGTAAATATTAAAAATTAATTNTTTTCGGTATGTGATATATTTTTACTTGTATCACTTTTATACGTATTGTTTGGGTATTTACCCTGGGCCTAGGTAAATACCCGAATAAATACCCATTTTATAAATACCTACCCGTGAGGTATTTACCCAGTGCCCATCACTGCGTATATCACAATAATATTTTTTTATTTACCTTATTATTTTTTTTATTCTTACCGAATAAATATTTTTTGCAACTTAAAATATCTCGAACTGTTTATTATTTTTTTTTTGTGTTTGTGTCCACTTGTGTCGATTACATCACTTTACCACCTCACGTCGCAGTTCGTGGACAACGCAGGGTTAACTGTGTGGCGCCTTATAAATAACCCTACCTGTATTGTTCTTTTCTTTGTGTTCATAAGTCGCCACAATGCATGAAAAAACTTTACAGATTATGCCAAAAAGAAATAAAATGAAGCGATGTTTAGAATTAAGAATTATTTATTTAAGTAAATATTAAAAATTAATTGAGACCATGAACATTTTCCGTCTTTACATCCAGCGTACAGATCGATATTATACGATCCGTTGTTGTTAGGTGCATGACAACTACACCCGCTGAGACAATCTCTTCCTTGACATTCATTTTTTGATATGCATTCTTTGTATGTGGAATCTTTATAAATCAGGCTTGGCGGACATCGTTTTGAGTTACAAGCTTCTGCACATACTTTATCTGTACATTTAACACTTTTCTGACAAGTTTCTATTGGACACGGTGTATCACAAGAGTAATAAGCATTATCGTTGTGACATTGATAAGCTAAATGATTAATATTAGAATTAATACTCTTAATTCAATGTAAATTTGTAATTTAAACTTACGACAAATTGTGTTTGTTCTCCAATTAACAGGTTGGCCAACGTCGTTACATTCTTGAGCGTAAGCAGACAATGTTTGACAATAATAATTAGTTCGTTGATTTTCGGGTAATGAAAGTTGTAAATTTGCGTTTATTAAACATCTGTTATAATATTCTTCAACAGGTGTTAGTAATCGACATGTTNAGGTGCATGACAACTACACCCGCTGAGACAATCTCTTCCTTGACATTCATTTTTTGATATGCATTCTTTGTATGTGGAATCTTTATAAATCAAGCTTGGCGGACATCGTTTTGAGTTACAAGCTTCTGCACATACTTTATCTGCACATTTAACACTCTTCTGACAAGTTTCTATTGGACACGGTGTATCACAGGAGTAATAAGCATTATCGTTGTGACATTGATAAGCTAAATGATTAATATTAGAATTAGTCCTCTTAATTCAATGTAAATTTGTAATTTAAACTTACGACAAATCGTGTTTGTTCTCCAATTAACAGGCTGTCCAACGTCGTTACATTCTTGAGCGTAAGCAGACAATGTTTGACAATAATAATTAGTTCGTTGATTTTCGGGTAATGAAAGTTGTAAATTTGCGTTTATTAAACATCTGTTATAATATTCTTCAACAGGTGTTAGTAATCGACATGTTTCAAATTTTTCGCTGTATAAGATATCGCAGAATTTGTCTATCATGATTGCTTTCTACAAAAAAAAATGTTGTTAAATTATAACAGTAATTATATTAAATTGATTTACCTCAATTTCGGAACTTCTTGGGCATGTTTTATCAACACGGTAATAATCTACGAGTTCAGCAACATCATTAACGCTTGCTGGAGTGTCGAGATCATTTTTTGGATTATCATCGTATTTACCACATAAACCGAGATGATTCTAAAATTAAATGTTTTAATTTAAAAATTAAATAAACAATACAAATCAGTATTTTGAGTGCCAAAATATGATAGGCATAATTGCCTAAATTATTGAATATAGATCAATTTACACGTACTAACTACTTAATTTGCAAACTAGTAAAATTTACCCGTGCTGTCCAAGATCTCGAAACATGAATATGAACCCAACCACTTCTATTCCATACAACTCTAACACCCATTCCAATTACATCAACCATAATCGAAAGTTCCATATTTGTTATAACTAAATTGTTTAATTTATTTGGCGGTATAAATTCTTCGCCAGTTACCAAGATGACATTATCTTCGTTGTCTTTTGAATCACGAATATAAACTTTGACACTTTTAATACACGATCCAACGTTACACTGCGTAGTCTGAAAAGTATAAGTGTTAATTTATTAATTTGTTGTATAAAAAGCAACATACCNATCAAAATTTATGACAAATCTTGTTCCCAAGTCTACCATCAACATTGGGGATAATGAAATTGAGAGGGTTGACAGATGTGTATCTTGGCCATGAGGTTCGTGTATCGAGAGATAATCAAACAAGCGAACTGAACAGCCTACAGGAAACTTAGAGACATCTTCAAGAGCGATATATTTGAAAAGAAAGGCTTTCAATCAATGCGTGTTTCCGCTTATGACATAAGGCTCCGAAACATTAACATTAACGGTAGCCACTGCCAGGAGGCTCAAAGTAACGCAAAGACCGAAATGAAGACCTATGAAAAAGAACTGGTGCAAAAGATGTGGTCAACATTGTGGCAAAGCTCTAAATTACGACAGATTCGTCTGATGATAATACGTCTTGGATCGTTGACAATTCCTAGTCTCCAACGTACATTTCATCATTTCCTCTTCATTTTTTCGGTATGTGATATATTTTTACTTGTATCACTTTTATACGTATTGTTTGGGTATTTACCCTGGGCCTAGGTAAATACCCGAATAAATACCCATTTTATAAATACCTACCCGTGAGGTATTTACCCAGTGCCCATCACTGCGTATATCACAATAATATTTTTTTATTTACCTTATTATTTTTTTTATTCTTACCGAATAAATATTTTTTGCAACTTAAAATATCTCGAACTGTTTATTATTTTTTTTTTGTGTTTGTGTCCACTTGTGTCGATTACATCACTTTACCACCTCACGTCGCAGTTCGTGGACAACGCAGGGTTAACTGTGTGGCGCCTTATAAATAACCCTACCTGTATTGTTCTTTTCTTTGTGTTCATAAGTCGCCACAATGCATGAAAAAACTTTACAGATTATGCCAAAAAGAAATAAAATGAAGCGATGTTTAGAATTAAGAATTATTTATTTAAGTAAATATTAAAAATTAATTGAGACCATGAACATTTTCCGTCTTTACATCCAGCGTACAGATCGATATTATACGATCCGTTGTTGTTAGGTGCATGACAACTACACCCGCTGAGACAATCTCTTCCTTGACATTCATTTTTTGATATGCATTCTTTGTATGTGGAATCTTTATAAATCAAGCTTGGCGGACATCGTTTTGAGTTACAAGCTTCTGCACATACTTTATCTGCACATTTAACACTCTTCTGACAAGTTTCTATTGGACACGGTGTATCACAGGAGTAATAAGCATTATCGTTGTGACATTGATAAGCTAAATGATTAATATTAGAATTAGTCCTCTTAATTCAATGTAAATTTGTAATTTAAACTTACGACAAATCGTGTTTGTTCTCCAATTAACAGGCTGTCCAACGTCGTTACATTCTTGAGCGTAAGCAGACAATGTTTGACAATAATAATTAGTTCGTTGATTTTCGGGTAATGAAAGTTGTAAATTTGCGTTTATTAAACATCTGTTATAATATTCTTCAACAGGTGTTAGTAATCGACATGTTTCAAATTTTTCGCTGTATAAGATATCGCAGAATTTGTCTATCATGATTGCTTTCTACAAAAAAAAATGTTGTTAAATTATAACAGTAATTATATTAAATTGATTTACCTCAATTTCGGAACTTCTTGGGCATGTTTTATCAACACGGTAATAATCTACGAGTTCAGCAACATCATTAACGCTTGCTGGAGTGTCGAGATCATTTTTTGGATTATCATCGTATTTACCACATAAACCGAGATGATTCTAAAATTAAATGTTTTAATTTAAAAATTAAATAAACAATACAAATCAGTATTTTGAGTGCCAAAATATGATAGGCATAATTGCCTAAATTATTGAATATAGATCAATTTACACGTACTAACTACTTAATTTGCAAACTAGTAAAATTTACCCGTGCTGTCCAAGATCTCGAAACATGAATATGAACCCAACCACTTCTATTCCATACAACTCTAACACCCATTCCAATTACATCAACCATAATCGAAAGTTCCATATTTGTTATAACTAAATTCTTTAATTTATTTGGCGGTATAAATTCTTCGCCAGTTACCAAGATGACATTATCTTCGTTGTCTTTTGAATCACGAATATAAACTTTGACACTTTTAATACACGATCCAACATTACACTGCGCAGTCTAAAAAGTATAAATATTAATTTATTAAGTTGTTGTATAAAAAGCAACATACCGTAAGTGTGACCCTTAATACTCCATAAGTTAAAGATGAGTGCTCTAATAACTTGTACTCACAAATTCCTTTAAAGGAATAAATTAGTTCGTCAAAAGTTCTGACGTGTATGTTATTCCAAACGGAACATTTCTCCCAGTGGTCGGCATCTGGGGAGCAAGTCCAATATTCACCTCGACAAGTACTTAAAGTAACGATTTAAAAATAAAAGGAACGTTCGAACAAAAAAAAATAATATTTTTAATAAATTATTTACCATTTTTGATTTCTCTCATGTCGTTCCGTTTTATCTGGAAAACTGATTCCTTTATACAAACAAGGACAAAATTCCGGATAAATACAATTCTTTTCTTCTGCATCGTATACCAACATCTCTACACATTGACAACCACTGTGACAATTTTCATAATTTGGTTTCTCGTTAAGATGCTTGTTTCGACATGTTACGGGGTTGACACGTTTGCAACCAGTGTATCTAAGGTTATCGTAAGGGCTACATTTGTTGTAGAGTTCGTCGGTAGTTTTATATATACTTTTATCGTCTGGGGTAGCTGTGGTCACATTCCACATCGCATTTTCGCATACCCTAAGTAACAACGTTTTCTTATTAAATTATTATTTATAGAAATCAATGATACTTACTTTACTTTATCATCATGTATAAACGTAAAATCTGGTGGATATCGTTTATTTTCCCATATACACGGACATGTATGAATTGGAACACACTGGTTAATACTGTTTAACGTCTGCCCTTCAGGACAACTACATCCATCAACACAGATCCGTTTACATGTTAGGCTGGTGGAGACATCTTCACATGTTCGAGTACAAGGATTTGCACAAACTTGGTAAGTTTGGCCAGCTGGACATTGAATTGCGCATTGTGCGATTTTGTTACGCCAATCTACGTTAATTCCTTTTGCTGCACATTTATCACTTTGAATGGAGTAGAATTCACAAACACAAGTTTTTTGCTGCATTACATAGAATTGGGTTAAATTAAAATTGAATGTAATTCTAAAATTAACTTACTTCATCTGTGCATTGGCAAGCGTCATAAAGGCAATCATCATAAACGCTATTTACACCATCAAGACACCCTATTAATAATTAATTTTTAATAGATTTCTCAAAATATATTATAGGTTTATTACCTTTGAATAAATCACTTTTTAGCGCAGCACAGCTTTCTTCAGCTTTAGCTTTTCTATTTGGATTAGCTACGCAAGGATGTTCAACTGGTCCAGTATACTCATGTTTGCAACTACCAGGAACTTTCCAGGAATTTCCAAATTCCGTTGAATCCTTTGTTATGACACCGTTAGGCATTAAGAAATCATCATCTTGAGACTTAGTAAATGTACCAAGTAATCCCTACGATAAAAATAATGCTTATTTTGATAATAACAAATTAAAATAAATATTACATTTACTTTTCCTATCATTGTGGTAGGAATGCTAACTGTAACGCGAGATTTGCCATTCCATGTTACAGTGACGTGATCATTTAATAAAACGGTGGTTAATTCACTACTCGGTTGATTAATGCGGAATTCCGAATTAATATAAGGACGAAAACCAATCGTATGGCCATTAACTTTAACATTATGTTTCTGTTCTAATTCGATGATGTTACCTCCAGAATGGATTATTACTTTTGCACAATAAGATGGTGCTTTTGATTTATAATCTTTCTGCAAATTCAGATCATGTTGAAAGTTTAACAATATAGTTTTAAAAAATGTACTTACAACGTATGCTCCATTTTTCCATATGTAATGATCACACATTATATCAAAATCATTACCTCTTACTAAATAATAAGTACATTTTCCCATAACGTCAAATTTTTTACCATCGAAAGTCATACAATGTGGATTGCCTACACAATGTCCCTCCACTGTAGGAATGTTCTAAAATTAAAAAATCTTAAATTAAAAATTTTAAATTAAAAAGAAAAGGTTGACGTACGATAACACTATCACATTTGCGTCTTTTTACACATTGCTTGTAAGTAGAATCTTTATAAATCGTGTTAAGTGGACATGATGCGACATTACATGCTTCCGAGCAAACTTTATTTGGACAATAAACATTACTTTGGCAAGTGTCTTTTGGGCAAGGAGTTTCACATGGATAATACACCGTATTAGTTTTACAACCATACGCTAAAACCGATAACCTATTTAAATAAACAATGCTTATTTAATTGCTTTAAGTAGAAAAAGCACTTACGACAAATTCGATTCGTTCTCCAATTTACAGGTTGCTTAATGTCATTGCATTCTTGAGCATACGCAGATAATGTTTGGCAATAATAATTAGTTCTTTCATTTTCAGGTTTTAATAATTGTGTGTTAGCGTCAATTAGACATCTTCTGTAATATTCATCAACTGGTTTTATAAGACGACAGTTTTTGAATGCTTGACTGAATAAAATATCGCAGGTGTTTTCAGGAACCAAAATATTTACGTTCTAAAAATTTTATTTCTTAATAGTTGATATCTATTATTTAAGAGGTGATAGATGTTTAATAACTTTGGGAAAGTTTAATGAAAGGGTTGATGATGAGGGAGGAAAATAAATGAAGGTGTTTTTACTAAAAACTCAGAAAACTAAGTCAAAAACTAATGAAGAAATAGCCGAAATTAACCCGATCACAAACACACCGCTGACTTGATCAAAACAAAAAAGGCGTTAACTGAAGCAACTATAAATCCAGGGTTGTAAAATGAAACACGCAGCACTATATAAAGAGATCAATAACCAGCCAAATTACCAGGAGAAGATAACGTCGTAGCCGAAATGATAATACGAAACCCGGGAATCGATGCTATGCACCATGAGTACTAGATAGTTCCGGAAAGGTATGTCACAATTATCGAACAATTGCCAACATTTCGCAAAGTAATGTCTAAATAATAGCAAAACGCGTAAAGACCTACATAAATTTGAATTTGAATATTGTCACAAATACCACAGGAGCAAGCTTGCTTGGCTTTATGTCAAGTGGAACGCGACAACAAATATTGAACATAAGACAAATCATAGAAATGGTCAGAGAATTTATCATTACTTTAACACATCCTAGATGAAATGGGCGTACCAAGACTCCTCATAATAATTTTGGACTACCAGTTTGAATTCAGCGACTTTCCTTGATGTATCTTAGACCTTTCATAAGGTTTGGNACCCGATCACAAACACACCGCTGACTTGATCAAAACAAAAAAGGCGTTAACTGAAGCAACTAAAAATCCAGGGTTGTAAAATGAAACACGCAGCACTATATAAAGAGATCAATAACCAGCCAAATTACCAGGAGAAGATAACGTCGTAGCCGAAATGATAATACGAAACCCGGGAATCGATGCTATGCACAGAATATATCAAGTCATTTGAGATCAGGGTGGATACCATGAGTACTAGATGGTTCCGGAAAAGTATGTCACAATTATCGAACAATTGCCAACATTTCGCAAAGTAATGTCTAAATAATAGCAAAACGCCTAAATCCCTACATATTGTCACAAATATCACAGGAGCAAGCTTGCTTGGCTTTATGTCAAGTGGAACGCGACAACAAATATTGAACATAAGACAAATCATAGAAAAGATCAGAGAATTTATCATTACTTTAACACATCCTAGATGAAATGGGCGTACCAAGACTCCTCATAACAATTTTGGACTACCAGTTTGAATTCAGCGACTTTCCTTGATGTATCTTAGACCTTTCATAAGGTTTGGCACACAATATGTCTAAGTCTTGGAATCGTACTTAACTGGACGATTTTTACCCAGAAATGACGATGTAACTATAGCGACATTCGCATGCAACTGATAAGTTACAGAAAGCTAATTTAATAGTCCAATAATGAACACAAGAATTGAAAGTCAAAGTTAATGAGCTGAAGGTTTCCCTTGTAAATGTTACGTATTGTAAAATAGACGAAGCAGCTCCAGTGCGCATAAATGGCGCTCTTAAGGGGCATGACTTTAGACTCAAGGCGCAAATGGAAGTAACACGTGAAGAAAAAATGCGAACAACTCGGCTTCAGAATACGATAACTGTATTAGTTCCTGGGGCGTTACTTTAAGATGCCTACTCAAAAGAGGCAAAATCCTGAGGTGGCAAAATAAAGTACTGTGGTTTATCGTACATGCGAAACGCAGATCTACATAAAGTCTTAAAGATTCCTCCGGTCAAAAAATAAATTAAACGGGTTGCCTGGAGGCACAAGACACCGCAACACACAGATGCAATAGCTGTTTGATAATACTAAACTTTACCGTCGACTAAGAATGCGAAATTGATGTAGTCACTCACTACATCAATTTCGCATTCTTCGAAAAAGAAGAGCACTGTGCGTAGATATCTATTAGAAATGATGATAAACTAATACATATTAGATCTTATTGACATCGCATCTCTAAAGGTTCTTCATCTAAAGAAATAATCTTAAAGTTCTAATTAATAAAATATCCTGTAATCACAATTTCTAGTCTACAAACTAACAGTATCTAACTTTCTGTCACCAGTATTCAGTCTTTTACCAATAGTATCTCCTCCGCAACCAGAAGAAAGTCTTCTGCAAGCAGTATATAATTTTCTGCAAACATCATTTATCCGTATCTTGTATTCTGTCATCAATATGTACTTTTCTGTTGGCAGTATAACATGGTGAATATTATGTGACATACCAGTTATACAGTTTATAACATTTCAAAAAATGTTTTCATGCGGATTATTATATATTTAGTTTTTATTCAACATTAAAAATCCAATGGCAATTGAAGTCATGTTATAAGAGAAATTAGTTTGGACTAATTAACATGTTTCTCTAGGGCTTATCCAAGGTGTTTAAGAAGTAACATTAAAGGTAAGGAGGAGTGGTTTCAAAATAAGAAAACATAAATGTGGGAAACATCAGTATGTTTGTTACCAACAGTTCACTGCTTTCGACACATGTTGTATCAAGTCGATAATAATCCACAGCTTCTTTAACACTTTTTTTAAAATTTGGAGTATCTAAATCATTGTTTGGATTATTATCATATGTTCCACATAAACCAACTTGTTTCTAAAGTAAGATAAAGTATTATTTTAGTATTAATTAAATTTTTTTTCTCATCTTACCATTGTAGTCCAAATTCTTGAAATATGAATATGTACCCAACCTCCTTTATTCCAAACAAGTCTAACGCCCATCTTAATGACATCAACCATTATTGAAAGATCTAAATCTGTTATTACTAAATGATTTAATTGGTTAGGTCGCACGAAAGTTTCTCCAGTTGTAAAAACAACGTGGTCTTGATTGCCATTCACATCTTCACAATAAATTTTAACGTTTTTAATGCAAGATCCAGAAGAACACTCCACTGTCTATTTCGAAAAATAAAATTATTAACTGTTCACAATAATGAATATTGTAACATACTTTTAAAGTAATCCTAACTAATACAGATGATTCATTGAGTGAACTTTCAAATAATGTGTATTCACAGTTTCCTTTGAAAGAGTAAACTAATTCGTCGAAAGTTCTTACATGAACATTGCTCCAAACACTACATTTTTCCCAGTACTCTGATAGTGTATTACAATCCCATGTACCATTTTTGCAAACACTAATTAAAATAAAAATTACACTAAAGAAATTTCCTTTTTTTAATCTTACCATGTTTTTTGTCTTCCATTGCGTTCAAAATTTTCAGGGTAACTAACTCCGTTGTGCAAACACGGACAATCACTTGGTTTAACGCATTGATTGGATTCTGTATCAAGTACATAACCTTCCATACATTGACAACCGCTTTCACAGTTATCATAATTTGGTTTACTGTTAAGGTGTTTATTCTAAAGTAAATATTGTATTATAAAAAATGTATTAATAAAATAAAATAACTTTTATACTTGGCATGTTACAACATTCACTCGTTTACATTCAGAGTATACATAAAAATTGTCTGCGTCACATATCGTTTTTAAGTTATCTGTTGTGGGATGTTTCCTCTTATCCTCAGAAGTAGCTGTAATGATAATCCATGTCGCATCAGTACAAGTCCTAAAATAAATCGAATCAAAACGTGAATTTAATATTAATTTATTTTTACCATTTATCATCGCCATTTATAAATGAAAAACCTGGAGAATATCTTTCGTTCCCCCACTTACATGGACAGCTACTTATAGGGATACACCGATTATTTCCGTCTAAAGTTTGACCATTTGGACAATTACAACCATCGACACATTGACGTTGGCAAGTAGGATTTGCTGCTATATCTTCACAGCTACGAGTACAAGAATTTCCACACACTTGATAACTTTGGTCGGATGGACACTTAATGGAACATTCGGTTACATTTTTACGCCAATCGACGTATTTTCCTTTAGCCGCACATTTATTTCCTTGAGATGAATAAAATTCACAAACACAAGTGGATTGCTACAAAAAGAAATTGAGTTGGATTAAATTAACTGTAATTTTAACATACTTCATTTGTGCATTGGCAGCTATCGTATAAACAGTTTTCATAAACTTCGTTTACATTTTCGAGACAATCTAAAATTATAATCAGTTTTATATGAATTTTGTAAAAGAATTTTCTAATAAAATACATACTTGTGAATAAGTTACTTTTAAGTGCTGCACAACCACTTTCTGCTTGGACTTTTTTATCTGGATTGATGCTACACGGATGATACACTGGCCCTGTGTATTCACCTTCGCAACTACCTGGTACTTTCCAAGAATTTCCAAAGATATTTGGATCATTTGTAACTATACCATTTGGCATTAAGAAATCGTCATCTTGAGTTTTAGTGTATGTTCCCAAAAGACCCTAGATACAGCAAGATTTCAGCTTTTTATACTAAAATGAAGACTTTTGGAAAGAATTTGCTTAAAATAAGTTTATGACGATATGTATACTACTGGTGAAAGCTTGACGATTAGCTGAAGTATATTTTAATAAAATGATAAATCAAAAATAACTCTGAGCTGGTTTCAGCACTGGAAGTTGCCCTGGATATCGATAACAACACTCATCCTAATAAGATCCTGGAATTGACGAAATTTCACCTCATATATTAAAAAAACTTGCTAAGAAATGTAATCATCATGTTGGTATACTTTTTTAATGCTTGCTTGAGACTGAAGTATGCTCGCAATGTTTTAAGATAGCACAGATGATTATGCTCAAAAAACTGACAAACCAGCTGAGCAAGTTTGATCATACAAGTATATCTTGCTGTTACCTGCCATTTAGAAATTGCATGAAACCAGCTTTACGGTTTAGACTTCGTAATCGCCATTCTACAATAGATCAAGAGTATTGAACAACAACTGTTATTAAGAGACTACTCAGACGATTGGTTGTGGCTAAAATATTGTTCTGCAGTTTTTCTGAATGTTTTTGAGGTGTTTGATAGGGTGTACAATCAACTAATGAAAGCATATCTTTCTGCTAGAAAGTATAGACTATCANATGTAAAATGTAGAAATAAAGGGCTATAATAATAATAATAATGTATACTACTGGTGAAAGCTCGACGATTAGCTGAAGTATATTTTAATAAAATGATAAATCAAAAATAACTCTGAGCTGGTTTCAGCAATGGAAGTTGCCTTGGATATCGATAACAACATTAATCCTAATAAACTCCTGGAATTGACGAAATTTCACCTCATATATTAAAAAAACTTGCTAAGAAATGTAATCATCATGTTGGTATACTTTTTTAATGCTTGCTTGAGACTGAAGTATGCTCGCAATGTTTTAAGATAGCACAGATGATTATGCTCAAAAAACTGACAAACCTGCTGAGCAAATTTGATCATACAAGTATATCTTGCTGTTACCTGCCATTTGCAAATTGTAAGAAAGATTACCAGCTTTACAGTTTGGATTTTGTAATCGCCATTCTATAATAGATCAAGAGTATTGAACAACAACTGTTATTAAGAGACTACTCAGACGATTGGTTGTGGCTAAAATATTGTTCTGCAGTTTTTCTGAATGTTTTTGAGGTGTTTGATAGGGTGTACAATCAACTAATGAAAGCATATCTTTCTGCTAGAAAGTATAGACTATCAATGAAGGGGGATGCTTAACATTCAAACCAATCTTGATTGAAGTTCTACAAGGCAGTGTCTTAGGACCATTCCTTTATCTACTGCATATCATAGATGTTCCAAATTCAAAAGTACATGGAACTTTCGCTGATAATATAGTTATTATGGTAAAAGATTCAACTCAAGTGAAAACTGTGGAGAAACTTTAAGTGGCAGTTAACAAAATTAATAAATATACTAGGGATTAGAAAATGCACCTTAACAGCTTTAATCAGTCCTCATCAATTCTACGTTACAACCTGTCAATTTTTACTTTTCAATGCATATCAACAGTTAATATTGAAAATTCTTTATAAATCGATTTGTTTTTAATTACCTTTACTTGCCCTATCATAGTTACAGGAATCCGAACAATAACATATGAGTTGCCATTCCAAAGTACCACAACGGAATTTTTCAGGGAAACTAAAAAAAGAAAAGATAGCTAAATTGAAAAAATTTTATAAATTCCATAAACATACCAGTTATTTGTTCGCTGCTCGTTTGAATAACACTGAAATCTTGAGTTATGTAAGGTAACCAATCAAGTTTTTGACCATCTACTGCAACATTAAGTTTTTGTTCTAATTCAATATTATGTCCTTGAGTTATTATAAAAACTTTTGCGCAAAATGACGGTGCCGTTGATTTAACATCTTTCTGTAATTAATTAAGCAATGTATTTATTACAAATGAAATTAATTAAAATCTTATTTATTTTAAAAAGATATTTTACGCACAATATACGCTCCGTTCCATATGTAATTATCGCATATAACATCAAATCCATTTCCACGGACTAAATAATACATACATTTCCCCATGAAATCGTAATATTTACCATCAAAAGTGGTGCAGTGGGGATCACCCATACAATGGCCTTCTACTGTTGCAGTTACCTGAGATCCACATTGATTTTTAGGTACGCATTATGTGTATGTCGAGTCTTTATAAATTAAATTAAATGGGCAAGGTGAAACATTGCAAGCTTCTGAACATAATCTATCTGGACAATTATTATCTTTTTCGCAAGTATCCTTGGGACAAGGTGTTTCACATGAATAATACGCTTTGTTAGGTTTACAGTTATACGCTAAATCAGAACATTATTTAATTATAAATTAATATAATATATAAAAATAATAAATCAATTAACTCACGACAAATATCGTTTGTTCTCCACTCGACGGGTTCATCAACATCATTACATTCTTGGGCGTAGGCCGATAATGTTTGACAATAATAATTATAACGTTGATTTTCTGGTATAAGTAATTGTAAACTAGCATCAATTAAGCATCTATTATAGTACTCATTAACGGGTGTTAGGAACCGACATGTTTTAAAAACATTACTATATAAAATTTCGCATGGGTTTTCTATAGGCATTAAATTTACTTCTTTCAATTGAGTACAACCAGGACATGATTTATCAACTCTATAATAATCAACCAACTCCGTAACATCATTCTGATTGTTTGGAGTTGTCAAATCATTATTGGGATTATCATCGTATTTTCCACATAACCCAACATGATTCTGAAATGTTTATTTTTATTTATTGTGAAAAAGAAAGTGAATTATACATACCCATGTAACCCAAACTCTAGAAACATGTACATGTAACCAACCTCCTTTATTCCAAACAACTCTTATTCCCATTCCAATAACATCAACCATAACAGAAAGATCTAAATCTGTAATAACAAGACTCGCTAACAAACCAGGTGGAACGAATTCTTGACCAACTACAAATGTTACAATATCTTCACGACCCGTTGTATCTTTGTAATAAATTTTAGCACTCTTAATACATGAACCAACATTACATTGTGCCGTCTAAAATCGGTATGATAGTAATAGTAGTATTATTTAAGATTACTATAAGATAAATTAACATACCGTTACTGTTACTCTAAATACTCCACCAGTTGGAAGTGAATGTTCGAAAAGTGTATATTCGCAGTTTCCTTTAAAAGAATATACTGTTGCATCAAAAGTTCTTATATGAATGTTATTCCAAATGCTACATTTTTCCCAATGATCTGCTGATGGATTACAAGCCCAAAATCCATCTTTGCAAACACTAAAATAAAGATTAGGTAAATTATTAGAAATAGTAGATCTAATTAAAGCTTTGTAAAAAGGAATAAATTATAACAAATCCTTACCAGGTTTGATTTCTATCATTTCTTGTTGTTTTATCCGCATAACTAATTCCTTTATACATGCACGGACAATCTTCGCGTCTAACACAAGTATTTAATTCTTCATCAAAAACAAATCCTTCGGAACATTGACATCCACTTTGACAATTATTATAATTTGAATCCTCATTGAGATGTTTCCATATATTAAATAATTTATGCAACTTAAAAATAATTATTAAATTAGTAAACTCTCAAATTTATTTATGTCCGAAAATATGCTATTATTTACATTTATTACATGGAGTGAAGAAAGTCAATATCCATCTTATCAATTCACTCCACATAATTATTGAGCAGAGCGCGGAATGGCAGAGTATGAAATTCAAAAATGAAACTCGAAATGGAATGGGTCTGCCAAGTAACTCAACATATCGGAGTAAAGCATGAAAATATACCGCTGTGATATACAAACGTTGAGCCCATTCAGCTCCCGGACAATACTCAGTAACCAAGAAAATTGAAAAAAACTAAACATCACGAACTGTTATAGTATCAAAACTAATTTAGTTTAAGTGCACTCTTTTTTCTTGCACATATTTTCGGATTTAGAAAGCAATTATATTTGTTATTACCTGGCAAATCACACTTTTCACTCGTTTACAGCCTGTATAAGTCATAAAATCATCCGCATTGCATCGTTTCTTTAGGTCCTTTAAGTCCGGGTATTTCAATTTATCATCTGCAGTAGTAGTTGTTATATTCCATTTAGCATTAGAGCAAGTGCTAAAAAAGTTTCATATTTACAAAAATATTTTGAATGAAATTTCTGATAATGAATTACCATTTATTTTCGCCGTTTATAAAGGTCGTTTCAGGATTGTATCTTCCATCTTTCCAAAGACAAGTACACTTATTAATTGGAATGCATTGATTTTTTTCATTTAATGTTTGTCCTTCTGGACAATTACAACCTTCAAGGCAAGACGACTCGCATGGTGAATTGGTGCTAATATCATCGCAGGTGCGAGTGCAAGAATTCTCACATGTTTGGTACGTTTGCCCTGCGGGACATTGAACTTGGCATTGAGTGATTGTTTTTCGCCAATCCACCGGTTTGCCTTTCGCAGCACATTTCGCTGCTTGTAACGCGTAGAAATTGCAAACGCAAGTTTTTATCTATAATTTTATGGTAAATGTAAGATATATAAGATTAAGTTAATTAAATTAAAATGATTACTTTATCGACGCATTCGCAGCCATCATAAACGCAATTTTCGTAATTTGTCTCAATATCTTCAAGACAATCTGCGAATAGATTACTTTTTAATGGAGCACAAGCTTGTTCAGCTTTCTCGCGATTTTCTGGATTTATGCTACATGGATGATATACTGGTCCTGTATATTCATTTGCACAGCTTCCGGGGACTTTCCAAGAATGGCCAAACAAATTCGGATCAGTCGTAAGAGAACCATTAGCCATTAGGAAATCATCAGCTTGCGATTTTGTGTAAGTTCCAAATAATCCGCTCACTCTTCCTATCATTGTGGTAGGTATTTTAACGATGAGCCAAGAATCACCATTAAAATTAACATCAACGTTATTTCTTAATGAAACTAAAATTGAAAATTAATTATTAAAATTAATTTTGATATAAAAAGTATAAAATTTAATACCTGAGACTAATTGACTACTCGGTTCGGTAATTCGGAATAATGGAGAATTAAAAGGTAATCGTTCAAGTCTGAAGCCATTTAATTTTAGTTTGCGACCCTGTTCCAATTCAATGATGTGGTCTCTTAGTTGTACAATAACTTTTGCGCAATATGATGGTATAGATGATTTTTCATCTTTCTACATAAAAGAATAAATTATTTTGTTAGCATAATCGAGTTTACTACAATTTATTGAAAAAGATGATATACTTACAACAAATGCTCCATTCCATATAATATAATGATCGCAAATAACATCAAATCCATTTCCTCGCACCACATAATACATACATTTTCCCATAAAGTCGTATTTTTTACCATCAAAAGTCGTGTAATGTGGATCAGCATAGCAACTGGCTTCAACTTGACAGGTTTTCTAAAAATAAAACTTTGCTAAAAACTGTACCACATTCAAACAACTTGCTGGTTACAGTTGTACACATCCATTGTCCTTTTCTACAAGTGCACATATTGCATTCTTGAGCTATTGATGTTCCAGATTTGTATGCTACGTTGTTGTAGTAACAATCACACTCTTCGACAAATAGGCATCTATCCTCCTGTAAACGTAATCCCTTAGGACAATAACAGCCTTCCTCGCAATCCAAATTTGAAGTATCTGTTTCTATTTCATTGCACGATAATTGCCGTTTATTAGGAGCGCAAGTCATGTATTGTTGTTCTTGATTTCTACAGTTAATTGCTATAAAATAATTATTATGATTGCACTACTTGAAAAGAAAAAAAGAACAACTTACGACAAAGTGTTGAATTTCTCCAACTAATAATATCGTTGGTTTTAATTTGACAGGTTCTAGCGTAGACGTCCAGCATATCACACATGCAATCATTTCTATTTGCCAATTTACAATTACAATAATTTGATGTACAAATATTCATAAATTGGGAGTTGAATGCCTAAAAAATAATCACAATAAAAATAATTTTTGATATCACAAATTTGAAATTAATATATTACACTGCATTTTGTAAATTTCTGATCGTTAAATAGATCATTACAAAAATTTTGGGCTTGTGTGTAAAAATGACGATTAGTTCCACAACTATTAAGATAATTTCCAGATCTACATCCACCTGAAACATAAATTAGAAAAGAAGAAACAATAAAAATTGTATATGCGTGTAGAAATCAAGAATTCAACCAAAGTGATATCAAGAATAAAAATAAATTGAGAAAAACAACTGTTGAATTCTTGACTATTTCTAAATTAATGATTACTTAAGATATGATCGTTTTTACTTCCGAATAAGCTAATGATGCAGTTTAAAATACCGTTGCAATGAGACGAAAATGATTCGAATTTTGTCGTAACTATTTTAATAATTTTTTTGATGGTTGTATGTAGTTATAGATTTGTTGATTAACAACAAAAAGTCTTACCTATACTCCAGCTATCAGCAAATTGAAGATTATTTCCAGCAATTCCACCATTCTTCATTACCATATCATTTCCACTGCATCCATCATTATTTCCGCACATTCCCAACATTGCACGATCATTAAATTGATTCCGTTGAATAACTTCTGCAGTCTGCAAATAAAAATTTTTGCGTCAATTTAAGGAAATGTAAAGTATCGATTTGCAATGAGGTCAAGGTCATGAATGTGGCGGAAAAAAGCTTAAAGCAATGTTAAGAACAATGTTGCCAAAAGTAAAGTTACCTATCGCTTTTTTTATGTGGATTAAAACGTGTTAAATGTACAACATTATATCACTTTGTGAAAATCTGATGTGCAATCTAGATTACATTTTTGCGCAGTTGACAAATAATTCTATTTATTAGTATATGTGGTTAAGATATGCTCATGTCAACTATTTATTATGAACATAATATTACGACTGAAAACTGAAACAATTTCACTCATATCATCTGTGTTTCAACGCGTAATTACAAATTGATAGAACAAAATATTACATAAAAAGTGCGAACTTGACGTCGTATAAAGTTTCTTTTTCCACAGGCAAACGCTTATAACGTACATATTTCGGAATGAAAAGCTTAAAATGAAAAGGACAGATCTGAGGAGATTGTGGAACAGGTGTAAAGGCGTTGTTGTATCCTACAAAGTCGACGCACTCTGCTCCATTACAGATAAGCAGCAGAACATTATGTAAATAGTATAAAAGAAATGAAGGAGAAACAGGACGGTGACCTTTCGGGCAACACATCTCGAGACTACCAGACACTTCAAAAACTGGTTATGTACGATCGACAGGTTAGAAACGGAGAACACGTTGCATTTTTTCCTTTTAACACATTGAACGTTGCTTGACTACAAGGTTGACGAGTAAAAAAAACATTTGTTAGGTACATAGAAGTATTTAAGTAGCGATGGACTACTATATTAATCATCCACGATAGTAAGTATTTGTTATTGATAATTTATAAGGTATTTACGCAACTTTAGAAAGTATTTGGCAGCTTTTAGGCCAAAACGAAGCTGCGTCAATTTAAATTGAGTCGGGATTCCAATGAAAGCTCTAAACTTCGGCTGCAATCATTGATCTGACGTCTGCCTACAACATTTTATTGAAAATTTTAAATTAACAGCTCGCCTGCTAAATAATATGAATAACAGAACATTCCAAGTCCTTGTCATGGAGTCCTATGTGAGTTCACCAACAAACCTCAAGAGCGATTTGGCATATTAAGTCATAATAATATATATCGCAGATATGTCATAAAAAACATTTAAAAAGCACGGCTACGCCAATGCCTAAACTTTTGCAATAAGATGTAGATCGTTCGAAGAATCAGAGGAAATCCCGATAGTCGACCAAGAGAATCTGGGAAGGTATTTTCGGAAGTAGTGCCTTCAGTCAAACATTTCCAAAACATTTTCCACTTTGGCAATCTAGTTTTTCCTAATATAAACTAGTTGAACTCAACACGTGTTGAACAAACTGGTTTGGACTAAGAAAAATTAGTTTAGCCTAAAATACTAACACATATCCACTATAATAACAAAGTACAATTGTGAAGATTATAACACATCTGGTTCTTGACCCACGTCGGCATATACAACTTGAACCGTTCAGAAAAAATTTTATGTGACATTATATTCCGACACCTTTGAAAATCTAGAGAAAAACTTAATGTAGTAGCAAAAAGAGCAGCACAGTTTAATCAATAATAAGAAAAGTAGTACAACACAAGTTTGAAAATAAGGAATCTGATATTGGCGAAAAACAACAATGTTCTTGAAGCACTCACTATTGGGACACAATAATTTTATGGCACAACTAATTTACAAATCTAACTATGTTGAAAAATATACTAAAATGTACTATGTCATAAAAAATATTATTACCCTTCCATCGTATCGTATTTTTAATCCCAAATCTTTAATTTCCACAACAACCATAGCTCCTGGTTTACTAATGGACACTCCAGACAAATCATGAGGAATACTTTGTACATTTCCATCTATTTTAACTTCAATTGCTGCACCTAAAAAATTAATAGCAATTTTAGTTTCTGAAATTCTTTTATAATTTACTAACTTAACGTGACACAAATTGAGGTTTAAATTATAAATTTGTGTCATGTTGAGATCAATTGTTTTTGATTAAAAATCTTATTGATTACCTGTAATTTTAACATCGTAGACATGCTCGGCATACTTTACTTGTAAAGTTTGTACATTTTGAAGAAGATTTATTTCCAAATTGATTCCTTTTGAATTGATCGAAACAAGAGTGTACCCACACTTTGAATCATAACTCAAAAGTGATCCATCAAAGATTTTTAAGTGCAAACCATCATAAACTACACAGTTGGTAGTAGGCTAAAATCAACAATAAATATATTAATATATTCAATAATTTTAAATCTTTATTTTTCAAAAAATACTTACATCTCGATTACATTGAGATTGGGATTCAACACTAAAAAATATTAGAATTACAAGGAACAGATAAACATTCGGTATCATTTTGCGGAATGGTGTCTATGCGAAAAACGAGCTTTTATATGTAGGTAGTAATCGTGGGAAGGCTGAAACATGAATTAAACGGGATGGAATCTGGTTTCAAAGAGGAATGAACTTTGATGGTACAAATAAATTCCCTCATGTATGGTTAAAGCTTCTTTAATCCGTAAAAGACTTTAAGGATCTAAACTTGTAAAACGAGTAAGGCCATTTTCGTTCTGTTTTTAAACGGTTACACTCTTTTGTAGCAAATTGTAACAAAAGTTTTTTAGTTTCCTAAATATCCGTGAAATTTACTTTCAAACTAAGAATACATAGAAATTACTATGGCGATAAACAGTTACAAATTTGAAAACAATTGTTTAAGTTCGGTTGTGTCATTCTGACATTTACATTGTGTCGTCACATTTAAAATTTATAAAAATTATGGCGCACACTTTTTTTAACGAAGAACTTATGGATATGGTACTGGCATACGGGGAATCATGGCAAAATTCTGTGCTTGAATGATATATTCAATGTCGTCGAAGAGCAGCCTGACACACATAGGCAACATAAGTTAGTTTCGAAGCAAGCGTCACTAGTTCAAAGGTGCAGAAAGTAAATATGATGGATTGGCGAATAAGTGTGACTATCGTAAAACGAACTATTAAAACTCATATTCAGTACATTAGAGCTTGCAACTGCGGCAATTACAGCCTCAATCCTCCGTGGCATGCCTTCATAAGTCCTAATATAATGGGTACTAGTATTTCCTTCTACTCGGCTTGGAGAAGACACTTAAGTTCTTTCATCGATTTTGGTCGATTGTTTCACCCCTTAAATCAGCGATACAATTTGTCCCAGAGATTCTTGATGCTGTTCAGATTAAGGCTCTGGGCAGGCCAGTCCATTCAGGTAACTTCATTAGCACCGTACCCATCGATAATGGACCTTGCAACATGACAGCTGGCGTTAATGTCCTGAAAGTAACATAGCTTTACTCCCTAAAATTGCCATAACGTAAGAAGCACATTGTTATCTAAAATTGTGCAGTAGGCGTCGGCGTTGAGCTTACCATAAATTGAGAAAAAAGTCCTAAATAAAACATCCTCACATCATAATCCCACCTCCGCTGAATTGTACTGGTCGCACAGTGCATTCGGACAGGAGGTGTTCTCGAGGCTGACATTGAGGTGAACCAGAGTATCTGTTTTCACTGATCTACGGTCCACTGTAAACATGTTTTACAAAATATTAATCGTCACTCACATCATCACTCAATAATTCAACTTGATAGATGTAAGTGCTCTATTTCTGTGATACCCGACGATTACACCTTTCACGAAATCTGATAACTCTGTATTGCGTGGCATCTTGCATGCGAATAAAACCAATGTTGTTAATACACATTAAACGGCGGAGAGCATTTGCATGGGTGTCCAAATACTCAATGGTAGTGTATCATTTTTGTATGACTCTTTTTCAAAACTGTTACAAATTTTATTGTATTTTTAATACTCGAATTAATCAACGTTATCGAAGATGCAACTAATGAACCACGACAATTCCTATCCAAGAAACTTGGACCTCGATCTTCCCCATCTGCAAGTTAAGTTAAAGTATATATTACATATCAGCTCCTCAGAGGTAAGGTATGTTAAGTCACAAACTCTAACCCTAAGGTAATGAACTTAACCCATTAGCTGCCACGATGCCCACTTGGGGATTTTTAATCTTAACGTACCTCACTTGGCAAATTACAATAATTAAAAAAAAAGTGGCAGTTAATGTGCAGTTTAATTTCGCAAAAATGTGACTTAACACACCTCTGCATCTGTTTGACCGGAAAACTGGCATTTGGGGGACACTCCGACAATGTATTATTCTAACTAAAAAAACTGATGGTGGACGATCGTTGAGTTGAAGCAGTGTTGAATGTTTGGGTCATTCAGATTGTAAAGAACAAGCTGTCTGTATTTCTGTGTTCAAGATAGAATCCTGTGAACCTCTGCCTCCTTCATTCTCATTCCAAGCATACTTATAGTCACTACTTAGAACCATTGAAGCAGTAAATACCAAAACTGTATATTTGGTAACGTATACACAAGTATGTAAAAATTTCTTTTGTAGTGTGCACGAAAAGTAAAGAATTTTAGGAAAGATAGTGCTTTTTCCAAATCAAAAGTGCAAATGTAACTTTAATTAAACGTTATATTACTGTCGTCTTTAAGAACTCCTAGGTTATTAAATGCAATTTAATTTGTACTTCTATGACCTTTCTTCGCTCTGACTCTTATTCACTTTTTATTTTATGTATGAGTTCATCATATAACTTACAAATGTCTTTAGCAGGAACTTTAGAGTGTAGATTAAATTGTAAACAGTTTAACAATTTGAATTATTTCTATTTTGCTTATTTTTTTTTTTGGACACAATTGTCTGGATTTTTGTTTTTTTTTTGCTATATGTAAATGTTCTAAATCCCGATCTTAAATTGGTCTAATAGTTTCCACCTTAACAAAATCGAATTTTTTAAAAATTCAAACTTTCTCTATATCTTAGTTTTAGACATAAAATAGGTCAAGTAAATGTTAATTTGTATTACTATGCTGTAAAAGTTCCACGACAGATAACTTAATTAGGAATCTCATAACAACAAAAAAGATTTTCTAATTGTCACCATGACGATAACAATTAAACTTAAATCATTGATTGCACACTGGAGTACCTATAAGATCGAGGCAATCTTCAGTATACATCATTCACGCAAGCGCATTAGCTACTACTCACAGATACGAGCACACAATTTATTCCTTGTCCTATTATCTTCTACACTCTCCTCTCATTGTTTGAATAAGGAATCAGGCAAGAGAAGATAATATTAATCTGATTTTGATTAGTTAGATAAGGATAGAAATATATCTGCAATTTTTTCGCCCCCTCTCTACTTTATACTACAAATTTGAAAATATTTATCTATCTGTGCTACTTTTTTTTTATCGGGCTCACTCCAAATTATCTTATTAACAAGAGCTGTGTTTTCGTTGAAAAAAAAAGATGAGCTGTTTATTTTGTTACTTATTTATTATAACTATTGTGGCTGTTATTTTAAAAATAATTTTAAAACTTCGTATTAGACATAATGGATGTTATGTCTTGTTGGTAAAACTGCTATTATTACCGGTTCTAATACAGGTAGGAACATTTATTTTAAATTTATGCATACAAAAATTATAAACAAAGTTGTGGCAGTCAATCGATTATTACATGTACACCTTTTTTAACGTGTTACAAAAATAGATGTGTGTTGTAATCGATTTGCGAATTACATCACAAGCTATTTAGATACTGAAACTGTATTTAATCGATGACTCAAGCGGGTATACTTTATTTAAAGATCTCGAGACAACCTTAATATTGTTAGCATAAAATTAACAAAAAAAGAATGTAAAGTAAAGTTAACTGAAGTCGTAACATGTGTAGTCGAAACATGTTAAGCTGAATTTAAAGACTAATAAACCAGTAAAAAAGTACAGAAAATAAATTGATTATAATTTTCATCGTTTACATTTTTTATAAAATACTGGTAAATGGAATACCCAACCAATTGATTATTTTAAATTAACAAGTTTTTCTTTATTGAGTAGTAGACCTTGAGTTTCACAACACAATATCACACAAGTAAACAAGAATTTTTATTTGGAATGGTTCGGAAAGGTAACGGACTTGACTTGGAACGTTTATTATATTTATGAACATTTTGTACTATATTACTAATTATGTTTTAGATAGATTGAGTTTATCATGGAATTAATTACTAGATTTAATTACACAGATTTTGCAAAAATGTTAGCAAAGTCTACCACCAGGCTACTCTCCGTAAGTGAATATTCTGACAATTATGGGCGTGTAAGTCCAAAGACCGATCTTGAAAAACAGATTCCACATCCTTCCAGCCGCATCCTAAGGCACAAAACTTATATGGTTTAGTTTCCACGTATTGATGCCAAGCTAACTTCTTGGTAGGCAAGTTGAGTGTAGCATAGCATGTTGTGTTAGAAGAGAGATATTGTTTGACACATCATTTTGTAATTATATGAAGAACTATCTATATCTTGTCAAAAATAAAATAGACCACACTAAGTTGCTTTATTAGGTTGTTTAATGTGAAGCTCGACAACACACATCTTACAGGCAGCCATTGATCACCACCTTAAAGATATAGCTTAAATACTTCTCCAAGCAAGAGACATCATTGTAGTAGTTTCTAAACCAGTTTATTGTAGTAGGAGCTTCAATTAATTAATATTTAAAGCTTTGTTAAATACTGTCCTGGCACTAGGGTTTAGGTAACTTAGCTGTGAGTATCATTAAGTGGTTGTACATCCAAGTTTACGCTCCAAATTTAAAAATCAAATCATTTTGCAAGTTGAAGAGATCACTAATGGTATGAATATAATCATCAAGACCACATCATAAAGCATGGAAATTTGTATCTGTAGTACGGTTAGGTTTCCTATGAAAGTGCAGTTTGATTGCCCCACTTTATGTATATTTTTATTTTTGATTATTTAATATGAATTCTATTAATTACTAACAATACAAATAATTTCTAGGAATTGGTTATATGACAGCTTTAGATTTTGCAAAAAGAGGTTGTAAAGTGATATTAGCTTGTAGAAGTAAAGAAAGAGCTGAAGCAGCAATTTACAACATTAAAAAAGAAACGAAAAATGAAAACGTGATCTTCAAACATCTTGATTTATCTTCCTTTAAATCGATAAGAGAATTTGCTCGCGATTTTAATCAAACCGAAGATAGACTGGATATTTTGGTAAATAACGCTGGTGGAATTGGTTTTGAAAATAAATTTACCGACGATGGACTAATTTTACAAACGAATCACGTTGGGCCGTTTCTTCTTACTCATTTACTTTTGGATAAATTAAAGAAATCAGGGTCAAGTAGAATTGTAAATGTGGCTTCGAAAGCCGGTCATTTAGCCGGTAAAATCGATTTGAACGACTTAAATAAACACCCAAAAGAAGCTAAATCCACCTTTTATATGTACAAAAGCACGAAATTGTGTAACATTTTATTTACAATCGGATTAGCAAAACGATTGAGTGGTACGAAAGTCGTCACCAACACTTTACATCCAGGAGCTGTTGATACCGATTTTTTGATAAGATTTCCATTTTTGAAGACATTTTTTCAATTTGTGTCAAAATTGTATTTTTTAGTAAGTTTTAATTTAAGAAATTTAATTGTGAAATATCAATTTTTTTATAGACTCCTTTAGAAGGTGCTCAAACATCGATTTATGTTGCGTTATCCGATAAATTGGAAGGTGTCAGTGGAAGATTGTTCGATAATTGTCGTGAAATTGAAATGTATTCGAACGCTAAGAATCCGAAAATAGCTGAAAAACTCTGGGAAATGAGTGAAAAATGGTGTGGACTCAAAGAAAACGAAAAAATTCGTTTTTAATTCCTTTAAAATTGTTCAGCTTTAATGTTGTTATTTCGATGTTAACCTTGAAAATAATAAATTGCACACAATAAATATTTAATTAAGCAGCATTAACACTTTTTTGTTTTATACATCTTCATTAGTGAAATATATAGAAAAATATATTCTAAATTTATTCAGTCTCCCACTAGTTACTCCATACTTGGATTTTGACTTCAAACGTTATAATAAACCAATTGTATTAAAAAGATTTTTTATTGTTATAGAAAATGTGCAATTTAGCTTTTTTCATTTTCCTAATAATATTTTTGGCTGTTATTTTGAAAATGATATTAAAACTTCGTGTTAGACATAATGGATGTTATAAATGTCTTGTTGGAAAAACTGCTATTGTTACTGGTTCCAACAGAGGTAAGAAGATTTAGTTTAAATTTATTCATACAAAAATGATTATAAAATTTGTGGCAATCAAACAATTAATCTAATTGTAAGACTAACTCACAAAAAGAAAACTGTCTATTTTATATATTTCCAAAGCGTTATTCTGCCAAAGTCGTTGTGGAAGTATCAGCAATTGATAACTCTACAACGAATTATGGAAGAATAAAAAAATTTTGAATTTTGAAACAAATGTGTGCAAATAAGACAAGATTAAGTGTAATCATTCTAATGATTTTATTATAAATATTGCTCAACAATCAATCTTTGGATGTGATTTCCACATAATAATATTAGTTCCCCAAACGTTCCTGACTAGCTGTGAACCTCTTATTTTAGTCACCTATGTTAAATTAAGCAATCAAATCTATTAAATGTGACGGCATTATTTAATATGTACGTATAACTCAATTGACGATTTTCTTACCATTTAAAAATACTTATTGAAGCAAAGATATTGTTAGCACTATAATTTAAAACACTTTTTAATAATGTCATACCAGTTGCTTCACTCCTTATTCACTAACAAAAAATTAAATGAATGTTAACTATTTTATTTTTCATGAATGTATCATCATTAGTGATTTTTTTTTCTCAAAAACTAAAAGTTATTTCTCAAAACGGGTTGGTTTATTGGAAAGAAGACACCTTTATTAACATTTTGGGAAATTTTCATACTCATATTCCAAGAACTGGATTTTATACGAATTTTTAAATCTTAATCGGATAAAATTGCAAAATTCGAAAAAATTGTAGATCGTTTCAAAAATTTATTTCTCAAGAACTGAAAGTGATATTACAAAACGGCTTGTTGCATTAAAAAGAGAACACTTTAATTACTAATTGGTGATATTTCCACAAGGATCCTTCAAGAAATTAATTTTATAGCGAATTTTGAAAATTATTGATGAAAATTGCAACATCGTAAATTTTATCAAAACTTCAAATATTGTTGTCTCAAAAACTAAAAGCTATTTTTCAAAACGGGTTGGTTCATTCGAAAGAAGACACTTTTATCAACACTTTGGGAAATTTTCATACTCATATTCTAAGAACTGAATTTTATACGAATTTTTAAATAATCGGGGAAAATTGCAAAATTCGAAAAAATTGTCGATCATTTCAAAAATTTATTTCTCAGAAACTTAAAGCGATTTTTCAAAACGGTTTATTGCATTGAAAAGAGGATATTTTAATTAATAATTGGTGATATTTCCACAAGGATCCTTCAAGATATTAATTTTATAGCGAATTTTGAATATTATCGATGTAAATTGCAACATCGAAAATTTTATCAAAACTTCAAATATTGTTTTCTCAAAAACTAAAAGCTATTTTTTAAAACGGGTTGGTTCATTGGAAAGTGGACACTTTTATTAACACTTTGGAAAATTTTCATACTCATATTCCAAGAACTGGATTTTATACGAATTTTTAAAACTTAATCGGCGAAAATTGCAAAATTCGAAAAAATTGTAGATCATAACAGGCATTTAGCTTTAAAAAGAGGATACTTTAATTAATAATCATATAGATATGTTGGTAGCATCATGGCTATATCTACTTAATACAATTCTAACCTTTTTTGCCACTGTCTTCTACATTACGAAAAAGTTCATTCAATGTAAGACTATTAAAATAAAAACATGCAAGTATGCCAAAAACATACAGTAGCCACTCTTATGTGCCTACTGTACCTACTTAAGAAAGAACACTGTTGTTTTTGCATGATCTATACTCCTATCAGTTTATTTGAATTACTGACAATGCTAATAATTTATAGGAATTGGTTACATGACAGCATTAGATTTTGCAAAAAGAGGTTGTAAAGTAACATTAGCTTGTAGAAATAAAGAGAAAACTGAAGCGGCAATTTACAAAATTCGAAAAGAAACAAAAAATGAAAACGTGATCTTCAAACATCTCGATTTATCTTCTTTTAAATCGATAAGAGATTTTGCTCGAGATTTTTGCTCGTATTTGGTTTTAAGAATTGAAATAGATTTAAAAAAACAATTTTTTATAGACCCCATTTGAAGGTGTTCAAACATCGATTTATGTTGCATTATCTGATGATTTAGAAGGTGTTAGTGGAAGATTATTTGATAACTGTCGTGAAGTTGAGATGTATTCAAACGCTAAGGATCCGAAAATAGCAAAGAAACTTTGGGAAATGTGTGAAAAATGGTGTGGACTGCAGGAAAATGAAAAAATTTAATAATTAAGATATTAACGCAATAAATTTCTCATAATAATAAAATTATTTTATTCTCCTTTTATTTTAAGAACATAACAATGTTTATAGCCACAATAAATTTAATATATTTCTTATTATTAATTTTATTTTTCCTTGTAACTTGTATAACTTGGAAAATTTATATAAAACTTCGTATAAAACCAATTAATTCTTACACGTGTATGTTTAAAAAAGTGGTTATTATAACAGGGGCTAATTCAGGTAATTATTAATTCCATTATTATTAAAACATTGAATCATTTTGTTGTAGGATTAGGTTTTGAAACAGCTTTAGAATTATCTAAAAGAGGCGCAAAAATAATTTTAGCTTGTAGAAATGCGACAAAAGCTCTACGAGCAGTTAAAGATATAATTTATCAAACTGAGAATAAAAATGTTTTTTATAAACACTTAGATTTAGCCTCGTTTAGTTCCATTAGAAATTTCGTGAAAGAAATTTATGAAAATGAAAAGAAACTAGACGTTTTAATTAATAACGCTGGAATTGGAGGAATTGATGATCAATTAACCGAAGATGGTCATTTAACAATGATCCAAGTTAATTATTTAGGTCATTTCTTATTAACGAATCTTTTAATAGGTCTTAATTACTTTTTTATGTAATGATTTAACTTTTAATTTGTTCCTATTGTTTAGATAAATTAAAGGAGTCACCTGGAAGTCGAATTATTAATTTAACATCTAATTTAGCAAAAAGATCCGATTTGAATTTAAAAAATTTTACAAATTATCCCTATTTTAAACAAAATTATTTTGCCAGAAAATCTATGTATTCCAATTCGAAACTTTGCATGATTTATTTCACACAAGAAATTTCAAGAAAATTGAGTTGTTATGGTATAACAGTAAATGCAGTTCATCCTGGTGCTATATTAACGGGAGTTTGGGATATTCCAGAATTATTTAAAAACATAATAAAATTAATAGGATTTTATTTCTTTAAAGTAAAATTGTTTCAATTAACTTTGCTTGAATTATTTTTTGATTTGTTTCAGACGGTTGAAGAAGGTTCAAGAACCATAATTTATTTAGCAACGTCTCAAGATGTTAAAAACGTAACTGGAGGACTTTTCGAAAATTGTGCTGAAATTAAAATGTATAAAACTGCTAGAAATCCTAATCTAGGAATAGAATTATGGGAGTTAAGTGAAAAATTAGTTAATTTATATAAAAAGAAGATAATGTGAATAAATAAAATAAGTAGTAATAAAAACTATATAACGTTTAGAAAATATATTATAATTACAAGGATGGTAGAATTTAAAAGGATTAGTCAATTCTTTGTTCTTCTGTTAACCAAAAAACCACGGTCAGTTAGGTGTTGTCACTTTTCGAAGCTTATCGCAGATATATTTATATTACATTTATTTTTAAAGTAAATCTATTTTGGAGAAAGAATTTCTTGGAATTTTCTGGTCAAGTATAAAAAGTTAATACCATATTGTTTGTCAAAATAGTACGGCAAAAAATTATTTAGTAAATCGTTATTTAATTTATGTTACAGAATCCAAAATGCATGAATAGTGTTTTGGGTTGATGTGGTATTAACTGTAGCGCCTCGGCCGCAAGCGACCTCAGCTTAATACAGCAACGTTGCGTATTTTGGCGTATTCAGCCAAGGTCGCTTACGGCCGAGACTGTACATTGTTTTAGACCAGCCTTATGATGACATCCTATTAACTCGGAGGCTACAAGCGACCTCGGCTTAATACAATCAAATCGTGTATTTCAGCGTGTTAAGCCGAGGTTGACACCTGACTTATGTTGATGTGGTATTAACTATAGCGCCTCGGCCACATGCAACCTTGGCTAATACAGGGACTTCATACATTTAACTGTATTAAAAAAAGTCCGCTTCAATCATGGTAGTATGTTGTTTGACACCAACTTTATGTTGATTTAGCCGAGGTCACTTGCGGCCGAGACGTTACATTATTTGACTTTAGTTTTGTGGCGATATGGTATAAATTGTATTGCCTAGGCTCTAAGCGATCTTATCTTAATCATCAACATCATGCAGTCTTTGTTATGTATTTGAGTTTTTTAGCCGAGGCTTGCTGAGAGGTTTTGTAACATCTACTGGTCAAGTAAAAAACTTTCCTGTAGAACGTACCTACTATGTTAAGTAATTCTCCAATTTCTATTAGATTGGAAAATTCAGCTTTGGAAATGATAGATGATATATTATTATATTACAGACCTTTATTTCTACATTAAAAATGAAATGAGTAAAGACTCTCTTTAGTATGTAGCTAGCTATTTAGCAAAGAAATTTTGTCAACTGTGATCGATTTTCATGCTCCCGTAAAAACTATACGCATCACGAGGCCTCCCGCACCGTAGATGACCGAGAATTTGAAATTTATGATGAACCTAAGAGATAAAGCTTACCGAAAATTTAAGCATTCTAGGAATCATAATGATTTTATGTATTTTAGGCAGCTCCGCAATTTGGTCAACTCTAGTATTCGTCATGAAAAGAAGGCATACCTGCAGTATCGTTGCAGTGCTGATCCGGGTAACGTTTGGAAACATCTGAGAGATTTAAATATTTTAAATAAAACTCATTGTGACAGGGATTTGTCTCAAGTGGGAATTGCGAATGATCTAAATAATTTCTTTGTTGCTAATAATAATAATGCGGATATTCATCTCATTCTGCAGCAATCGACAGCGGTAGGAGCGGACGGGTTAGGGTTGTCGGTTGTGCAATTGATTTGTCCATTGATTTTGCCTCACATTACTCATATCTACAATTTCTCCATTGAAAATAGTTGTTTTCCACAGGAGGGGAGGACGTCTCTCTAGCAATCCAGCTGAATTTTCTGACCTGCGGCCGATCAGTATCCTTCCTACTTTATCCAAGATTTTTGAAAAGATACTGGCTTGGCAAATTAAAGAGTATTTGACTCAAAATTCTATTCTATCAAAACAGCAATCAGGGTTTAGAGAGTTGTACTACGTTACTGTTGAATGTGTTGGATGATATAATTTCGGCAATTGATAAGGGTAAAATGTGTGCATTGGTTTTGCTTGACTACAGTAAAGCTTTTGACACTATTAATCAGTTACTGCGGTTCATTTTGGGTCATATTGGTTTCGAAGATTGCTCTGTGGATCTTTTGGGAAGTTACTTGTTTGGCCGCCGTCAGTTGGTTCGGTTGGGCAATACTCGAAACCCCTTCCGGTTCTTTCTGGAGTTCCGCAGGGATCCATATTGGGGCCATTATTATTTATTACTTACACGTTTAACTTGCATTCCTCGGTGAGGAACTGTAAAATGCATTGTTTCGCTGATGATACACAGACCTACATTGATTTTCCTGTGTCGGAGGCTGTTGCAACTAAAGATGTATTGATAGGGGATCTAGAGAATTTGGTGAAGGAAAGTGGGGGCCATGACTTAAAACTCAATTCCACAAAGTCGACTTCTATGATATTCTGTGGAACTAGGGTAAGGAAACTCTAAATGATTTCAGAGTTGAGGTTGGTGGTGTCACCTTAAATCGTGTTGAGTCAGCCAGAAATCTGGGATAACAAATCGATACGGACCTAAGATTTAGACAACTTATTAGTAATTGTATGAAAAAAGCTTATATGAACTTAAAAAATATATATGCAAGCAGGAAAATGTTTTCTACTAACACTAAAAAGCGTGTTATCTCATTTCGATTATGCTGATGTAGTCTGGCGTGGTGTCCTATTGGACCAATTTTGCAAATGGAACAGATAATTTAAACGATGAATAGTTTTGAGGATATTTAGAATCTAACTGGACAACATTGTATAGAATTAAAGGCCTTATTATTTAAATATTTTTTTACATCTTTTGACTTTGTTTTTGGGTCTAGAACATATATGTGAAGATGAGCACGAACTGTCCCCTTTAATTCACTATCGCTTGCTGTACCATAAGTAGTTCCCAACAAAGAGCGTTTTTGGCGCCGCTGAACGACTGTAAAATCGTTATTAGCATCCGTGATGGTTTTTTGATAATTTGAGATATTTTCCAATGTTTACATTTTTATTTGATGATTTATCGGACTGATTTGCAACAAGCGCATAAGGGGAAGTTTTATTTTCCGCATTTTTTTCTTTAGTTTTTATTGTTCCAACCAGATTTGCGTTTGAGATATTTTTAGTTTGCTGGATTACTTGAGTAGACTTCTTTGGGAATTGATTCGAGATGTATTTACAATACCTATATCGAAAGTCTATAACCGCATTCCGCCTTGGGCGAAATCACTGTCCATCCTGGCATTTAAAAAGCATGTTTTCTCTACAACGTTTCTGTTGCAGTTTTTTGTTTTTGTTTTTTCCTTTGTTTACTTACTNAACCCGTGCGACGATAGCAACAAACCTCCCAGCAACAAACTTTTACCCGTAATTTCCTATCTACTTTCTTAGCTGATATCTTCCTTATAATTAGGGATAGCGAAAAACTAAATGCACCACTTGAAAGGTTGAATCTTTCTCTATCTAAAACCGGGCCGATTTTCGTCTGCCGATAAGTTGATATTAAGATCAATAAAAAATGAAGAACACCGCGCTGTACTTAAAATAGCTCAAAATTACCGAACTTCAAGGCCTTGTGCAATTGTTACGAAACCGAATTTTAAAAAACTGCTATCACAGTCAGAAAGGGCACTCCTTCAGCTATCTTAATCCGGGTTTTCGTCGGTCAATATCTATTGGCGTCATGCTTAAATCACCCTTAATGTCCATCCCTACACGCAGAAACGCTTAAATACTCTTCCTCTAAACAACTTTCTTATTTGATAGGGAGAAAACTATAGAAACATATCTATCTTATCGGAAATTTTCTGCTCTTTCTAGTGGTGTATAACACGCGACGATCACGCGCTTGCACAAGTACATTTTTGACCAAAAACTGCTACATT